TGAAGCTGAGAAGGAGATGGCCAACATGAAGGAAGAGTTTGAGAAAATGAAGGAGGAGCTTGCTAAGTCTGAGGCAAAAAGGAAAGAACTGGAGGAAAAAATGGTGACCCTGATGCAAGAGAAAAACGACCTGCAGCTCCAAGTGCAGTCTGTGAGTATCACCAGTGCATTCGACCCTTATTGCACAGGGGAAACTAAGCCTGAAATTTCTAAATGCAACTTTCCCAGCAAGAGAAGTACAAACTGATAGTTACCTTCCACTAGAAAAATGTTGCAAGTCAAATTAAAATTCAAGGATTAAATGTTACATTTTCAAATTTAACCATGTGCATTTGGGCACTATCCAAAATGTAAGGGTCCAAATATCTGGAGTATACACATACATAAGCATATATAATGATGCCCCTTGGTGGGTCATCTGTGGGGATGGAACTTGGGACCTCCGAATCCTTTGTATTTTCTTGATGCAGACCAATTAAACTATTTTTGTTTTGGATGGTGTAACTTTTGGGACGCTATCCTAGATTTTTATTCATCTGCTGTACTGTTAGTTCTATTTGTTATACTACTCTATAGACCACGAGACATTTGCTATAGACCATAGCATTTTGAAAGCTAAGAAGAGTGGGGTTTTTTGTTTTGTTTTTTTTACAAGAAGAGATGATTTGCTTTGTTCACAATGAGTGAGATGGCCAAGCTCTTTAAGGGGCACATCAGCACAATACTAAACAAAATGCCCCTCATTAAGAAAATACATAGTTCAAACCCACCCTCTGTCCCATAAAAACTACATATTGGGAGCATTAAACATAAGTAAGTGGCTCAAAGAGAAAGTCACCTATTTCAAGTGTGTTAGAGAAACCAGGTGGGGGAAGTAATATCTTTTATTGGACCCACTTCTGGTCACAGAGCTTTTCTTCGGGGCCTAAAGAAGAGCTCTGTGTAAGCTCAAAAGCTTGTCTCTCTCACCAACAGAATTTGGTCCAATGAAAGATACTGCCTCACTCACCTTGTCTCTCTAATATCCCAGGACCTACACGGCCACCACAACACTGCATATATCAAGTGTAGCAATTTTGTGTAGCTATAATTTAGTTATTTCTAAATTAAATTCTTTTAACAATAACAAAGTCTTTCGTCTTCAAATAATACTACGTACAGTATATGTCAAGTATGATATTTTAAAGCATACCCATTTTTGAGGTGTCTGAGCACGAAAAAGTTTCTACATTCTTTTTAATTGGTAAAATTATAATTTTTATTTATACAATGCTCAAATGTGAGTGATGCACTTTACAAAGATATAAAAAAATGCAAGACCCCGACATAAAGAGCCAGATTTTCAAAAGAGCTCAGTATCCAAAACAGCTCCCATTGGTCTCAACTGACAACCTTCTTACTGAGACTAATCAATGTTGCTGGGTGCTCAGCATTTTAGAAAATTAGGCCATTAAAATCCAAATCATATGCAAATATAATAGGTGACACCAACCAACAGTGGGGTAAGAAACCAATGAGGAGAAGATAAAATTAAAAACAGCGTATGCAATTATATAGGATGTTTATATGCATGTCTAGGCTCTGACCCTGCTCACATGCTTAACATAAACCACCAGACAAGCAATGGAAAGTCAGGAGGAATAATCATATACTTCAGGTTGAACATGTGCAAAATTGTTTGTAGGATGTTGGCCTTAATGGTTTAGGGACAGATTATATACATTCATATGTAGTTATTACATTAATTTGTCTATGAATAGACTAAAAAAATTAATCTAGTTGCTAATTTTCATGATCAGACATCTCATAAGAACATAAGCATGGTCAAACTGAGTCAGACTAATGGTCCATCTAGCCCAATATCCTGTCTTCTGACAGTGGCCAATGCCAGGTGCTTCAAAGGGAATGAACAGAACAGGGCAATCATTAAGTGATCCATCCCCTGTCATCCAGTCCCAGCATCTGGCAATCAGAGGCTAGGGAGACCTAGAGCATGGGGTAGCAATCCTGACCATCTTTGCTAATAGCCATTGCTGGACTTATCCTCTTAACAACAAGTAAAAATCAATCCTATTCTGTGCTGAGATGAAATATAATTATTTTCAGCCTTTATTACAATACCACTATTTAGTGTGATATAAGATAGAGCTAAAAGTCACCAAACCACAAATAAATGGAAAAACTACATTTCCCCAACAGGAATCTGAAGGCTTGGCTGATGCTGAGGAAAGATGTGATCAACTGATCAAAACCAAAATACAACTTGAAGCTAAAATTAAGGAGGTGACTGAAAGAGCAGAGGATGAGGAGGAGATGAACGCTGAGCTGACAGCCAAAAAGAGGAAACTGGAGGACGAGTGTTCAGAGCTGAAAAAAGACATTGATGACCTTGAGTTAACATTGGCCAAGGTTGAAAAGGAAAAACATGCCACAGAAAACAAGGTAAAGGCTATATATATATATATATATATATATATATATATATATATATATATAAATGAGAGAGAGAGAGAGAGAGAGAGAGAGAGAGAGATCTGTGCATTTGTGCCTGAAGGGAGACTGGGACTGGCAGTCAGTAGGATGAGAAATGTGGGCAGGAGGAATAAGGGGGTGAGGGAAAGACAGATCAGACAAAGAACTAGGAAGGGAAGAACTGGGACTAGCTGGGCAAAGAGACAGTGCACCATCTATTCTGTGTACTGAATGAGGCAGGAGTCCTAGGGGGTCCTATAGTAAACAATAGTATGTAATCACATAATTAAAAACTCTATCATAATGGATATGTTGCACAGACAACCTTAATTCAGGAATTTCCTAACCTTGGAGTGCTTGACTTTGAAACCTTACTTTGCTTTGAACATTGTGTGTGTGTGTGTGTGTGTGTGTATATACACACACACACACTTTATTAATTTACATATTTAGTTTATACTTTGCATTCATTTTAAAAAAGATCAATACATAATAATGTATTTATTTATCTTTATCATTTACTCTCCAAGTAAGGAATAATAAATACATTAATGCACTTATGAGGTATGATATGCCACCAGTTGAGTAGGCTCCATTCTAATTTATATTTCAGTGGTAAACAGACAGATTTTCAAAATGGCCCAGAGCCCCCAATTGGAGTAGAAATTTCTAAAGCCCTCATAACTCTAAACTGTCCACTGAGAACAAAGGTTGTTGCTGAGTACTTAGTATTTAAAAAAATCTGAACATATATTTCAGTGCCTAAAAATTGAGAAGTGACCTCTTTTGAAACACAGGCATTAAAGTTGTTATTTGGTCTCTTATTGTTGAGGGAACAAACTGACTGAAATGGGACAAGTCTAGACCTTAGTAGGGCAGATGTGGGGGTTTTCAGTTGTAAGTGACTACAGTTCCATGAGAATCTCTTGCCAGTTTTTTCTGAGTTCACTCAGAGAAAAGATAATGAAGTAGCTATGACTTCAGACATGACCGTTCTTTGTGCTTATTATATTACATTTCCATGCAGCCAGTATCTATTGCTTGAATCTTACAAAATCTTGGTTAAAAACATCAAATTTAATAAATCTAAATTTTAAATGACACTGTCATTTCACAAACAATGATGTTTTGTATCCATTTTTATAACTATCTTTATTCAACTCGAAAGGTGAAAAACCTCACCGAGGAAATGGCAGTCCTGGATGAGACCATCGCTAAACTGACAAAGGAAAAGAAAGCCCTCCAGGAGGCTCATCAGCAGACCCTGGATGACCTGCAGGCAGAAGAGGACAAAGTGAACACACTGACCAAAGCTAAAACCAAGCTGGAGCAGCAAGTAGACGATGTAGGCACAATAATATGTGGAGAGAATAAAACCAGTGTGAAATTAGGCTCTTGTTAGCAGAGAATT